GGCCCCCTTTTTTTTTTTTTTTTTTGGCTTGTGTGTAGTAGATACAGACCTGGCTGCCTTCTGCCATGGGCTGATCTCAGATGCGGGGTTTCTTCAGTGAAGCGGTGCTCTGCCTGTTGTTCAAAACAGCTGCCAGATTGATTCCACCCTAGAGGCAGCTGCATGTGTTTGGTGGGAGACCTGAGCGTTGCGTGCGAATGATCTTTGCATTCTCGCAGAGCGGCTCCGTGCTAGCCAAGGGCTCTGTATCAATAACAACACCAACTTTTTAAAGTCGAGGAGGAGAAATCAAGTCTTGCTGGAAATGTAAATGAATCTGCTGGGCTGAAAATCCCAACACCTGTGTGGCCAGGAGTGTCTTGGGTGTCTTTAGTTGGGGGTTGGTCGTGCTTTGAGCAGGGGGTTGGACTAGATACCTTCTGAGGTCCCTTCCAACCCTGATATTCTGTTCTAAGAGGGTAGCCGCTCCGAGACTGGCTAGCTCCATTGCTTGAGGGCGGGGCTGTGGAGCCTTTCCCTCCAGGCTGTGGGTTCGAGTCCCGCTCAGGGGAGTAATGCCTGAGAGTCGCTCCCAATTAATGGTCGCTTTGGAGGACGTGTGTGTGAGTCAGAAGCTGGTGGGTCTCAGTCTAGTTTGGATGGAAAGGCGCCCTTTATTTGAGATGCAAGTTGACATGAGCATTGGCCTGCTAAACCCAGGGTTGTGAGTTCAATCCTTGAGGGGGCCATTTAGGGAACTGGGGTAAAAATCTGTCTAGGGATTGGTCCTGCTTTGAGCAGGGGGTTGGACTTAGATGACCTCCTGAGGTCCCTTCCAACCCTGATCTTCTATGATTCTATGTTCCCCTGACGTGTATGGGCCAATCACACCCTGGCTGGGGATGGACTAGGTGAAGGCTGATGGGCCTGCCCCCAGATGTAGATGGGGATTAGACTGCAGGCAAGGCCCTTGCCTTGACCCCCTGGGAGCAGGGAAGGAAGGGAAGCGCTGGGCCCCTGGAGACGTCGCTCAGAGCCTCTCCCGTCTCCGCTCCCCCCAGGACTCGTTCAGCAACATGCACCTCTGGCTGGAGGAGATCGGCCGCTACGCCAGCGAGAACGTCAACAAGCTGATCGTGGGCAACAAGAACGACCTGACCTGCAAGAAGGTGGTGGATTACACCACAGCCAAGGTCAGTACCGGGGGGGGCAGAATAGTGCACGTGTCGCACACTTAAACCCCAGCCCACAAGCACCGGGGGAGGGCTCCCGTGAATAACCAAGCTGGCCGGGCGAGGCGGGGATCTGCCCGGCATTCACCGTGGCCTTTCGTGTTTTCCCTCCCCCCGGGGCAGGAATACGCGGACGCGCTGGAGGTGCCGTTCCTGGAGACCAGCGCCAAGACCGCCACCAACGTGGAGCAGGCCTTCGTCACCATGGCGGCCGAGATCAAGAACCGGGTGGGCAGCGGCCTCCCCCACAGCGACAGCCGCCAGCCCAACCCCCGCATCCAGAGCGCCCCCCTGCGGCAGGGCCGGGACGGCGCGGGGGAGGGCGGCGACGGAGGTGGGGGCTGCTGTTAGGGAGGGGGTTTTCCCCCACCCACCTACCCCGTGGTGGGGAGCTTCTCCGTGTCTGGGACTACCGCTGGGGCCAGGACGGCTGGGCAGAGGGGCCCTTTGCAGCACCCTATTTATTTGCAATAGATTTTTACAGGCTGCGATCCCTCTCCAACCGCGTGGGCGCGCCCTCCCCCTTGGCTAGCCAAGAGACACTCAGGGCCGGCTACTGATCTGGGCTCCTGGTGGGCTGAGCTACTCCAAGCTCCATCCCCTCCTCCCCCAGTCATTCCCGATCCCCGCTGCATGGCCATACAGCCAGCCCTGCTCTGCACCCTTCAGGCCTCTGGAAGGGCCCCAGCTGCTCCGAACAGAGCCGGGCCCAGGAAGGAATCCCTGAATGCCGCAGGATGCGCGACGCCTCCCTGCGTGGGGGTGGAAGGCGACGTAGCCACAGACGGAGCAGCGAGGAACTGTGCCGTGACGCCCAGGACAAAAGCAGAAAGCGCCGTCGTCTGCGTCCCCTCTTAACGCAGCCTCGTGGGCGTCTGGCGCCGAGTTAGCGTCTTTTTCGTGTCCAAATGCTTGAATTTCTCCCCCCTCGGCTCAAGACTGAAGAGCGGCTTGAACAGTCAAAGCTTGGGCAGAAAGGCGGCTCGAGCCGGGTCCTGCAGCCGGAGGCGATTTCTGACAGCGGGGGCCTTGTTAATCCAGAGCCAGATCCCATGGCTGGGCGGAGTCGGCTGGAAAACGGGGTGCCGGTTTTTAACACCATGGGCGGTGAGCCAGTGGAGGAGGTCTCTCAGCGCCGGGCTGGAGTCTTCATCACTCTGGCGTCTCAGCGCGGTTGCATGCCCCGTTCGAGAGCCGCGCGAGCTCCACCACCAGCTAGGGGCTGAATGCTGGAATTCTGGTGTGTGAGGCACCAGCCCTTGGCTTACGGGGAGGTTTTTGACTAGAAAGATTCGAAGGAGGGTCAAATTTCAATCCTGCCTCCCTGGCAGAATTTCCCTTCCCCCCCCCACCCCCTCCCGGTTTGCAACCCTCCCCTCCCCCCTTTGCTCACAACTGATGTTTTTAAAAGCTGCCTCCAGCCCATGGCGGGGAGAGTTTGGCAAGATCCCTCCCCACTAAGCGGGGCCATGTCCGGACGAGGACCTTGCTGCGTTAATTGGCTCCAGCATGTTCTGAGCAGGGCGGTCCCTGTCCTGAGGGGTGCGGGATTTAAAGGGATGTGTGTTTGATGGGGGCAGGAAGCTATGGGGGGGGGTGGTAGAAGTGGCAGCTGGGTTAATAGACTTGCTGGAAAATTTGCCCTTGGTATTTATCTTCTTGCCTTTGAAATACAGTTAACTCTAACAGCAGCTCGGCTGCCAGGGCTTGACTGGCCCGACCCACCGCCGGCGGTAGGTCGTGGGCCCCAGAAATGGCGCGTGCCGGCCGGGGCCAGCAGTTTATCCCTGCTGTTTAACACCGCTGAGAGTTTTTAGGGCTTGCGAGTGCCCTACGAATTAAAGGCTCCATCTACAATTGATTCCTGGAGCTTTGCATCTGTCCAGCGCAGAGCACTTTGCCTTAGTTCCATTTTACAGAGGGGGAAACTGAGGCACAGAGCGGGGCTGTGACTCACTCATGGGTCCCCAGCAGGCCCAGGGCCTGTGCTAGGAATAAGATTAGGGTGGCCAGTGCTCTAACCCCTCGGCCATGCTCCCTCCTGCCTGCGTCATATTCCCCAGCCAGGAGGCCCCAGCTACCTCACTGGGGCTCTCGCTTTTCTTAAGGCCGGTCTGAAGCGACTCGAACAACCGCCGGCAGCTTTAGAGCAGAAGGAAAGGTTAAACTAAACAGGCCAGTCAAGCGAGTCCTTCACAGCTGAGGAACGGGACGCAGGACAGGAACGGGGGAGCCAAAAAAACTCACGTGAGGGACCAGGTGACCTAAAATAGTTTGGATCTCAGCGTGGCCCATTGTGAGCCTTTAATGTCTAGGGATTACAGAAACACAGCTCAGGCTGTACTGTACCGGTTAGTTTAACCTTTGGCCTAAGCAGCCGGTTGTGTAAGGGCCCCGGCCCTCTGCATTAAAGGTCGTACCGCTCATTGGTGTCACCCCAACGTACAGCCATCCCCCCCCTCCCCACCATCCCCCACACACACTATTAATTTCAGTGGGAATGCGGCACCTAAATCTCTTACAGGAGCCAGGCCAAACCCTCTGAGCACGGGCAGCGGTGCCCTGATATTCGATGCTTTGGCTTGCATCCATTCCCAGCAGCTAAACAGGCCGGCCGGCCAGCGAGGGCCCCAGAACGGCGTGCACACGGCCGGATTGGGGTGGGGGCCGCGGGAACCGGAGATTTCGCTGCGCCTGGTGGCAGACGATTGCACAGGCGGGTGCAGCAGGTGAATAGAGGGGGGGGGAGCCTGGCGGAGCAAGGAGGGGGTGGTACCTCGCAATGCAACCGTGGGGAGAGCCGTCTGGCGCTGTCCTATCCTGTCCTGATGGCTGCACTTCAGCAGGGCTGTGGACGCATGGGGAAGGGCACAAAGAGCTCCGAGGACGACCCCAGGTATGTGAAATCTGAGCTCAATCTAGCTAATGGATGAGTGTCGTTAACCACTGGACACGCTTCCCTGCACCTGTAGGGGGCATCTCTCTCACGCGGAAGCTTCCCACCCCAGATGTCCATCTCCAAGCGCTCTGCTCTAGCTCGCACCAGGACGCGCCGGGCCAGCGGCTCTGGCCTCGGTCGGACTCGCTGGTCCAAATGGTCTCTTATGGCTGAATCTAGTTGCCGGGGGGGTGGGTTCCCACCTCAGCCGCTGCCCAGGAGCCAACGGGGGAAGGGCAGGTGTTTCAGTCTGTGACAGCCTCACGCATGCCAGGCTGGGGGGGGGGGGGGGGGGGGGGGGCAGCCCCGCGCGGGGGGGGGGGGGGGGGGGGGGGGGGGAGCAAGGTGCAATACCACATGCTCTGGGCATCAGGTCACTTTCCGCACCTGGGCTGCTGCTCTCCTGCCATCCCTTTACATGGTCCAGGTGGGGAAAGGGACCTAGATGCAGGGACCTAGGAGTGCCATGGTCTGTTTCCCCACATGGGCACAGGAGGAGGGGTGCAGGGGCTGGGTGAAGGGGGCACAGTGCAGGGTTAGGGGTGCAGGAGGGAGGTGCAGGGCGTGTGTGCAGAGATTGGGGCAACGGGGGCACAGTGCATGGGTTGAGGAGCGGGGTGCCGGGGTTGGGGCGAACGTGGGGTGGGGAGCAAGGGGCACTGGGACAGGCGCCAAACTACAAGTTCATCCAGGGGACCATTTTCCCTAAGGCCGGCCCTGCCAAAGAGCAAAAACTCCCAACGCTGTCCAAACAACCCCTCGCCGCCTACGTGTTTTCCACCCCGCTACCAGGGAGCTGGAAGCTGTTGTGGTTTCCAGGAGGCAGGTCCCCACTCCCGCCCCCCACACACAAACCCCAGCCAAAAAATAAAGGCGCCACCGAAAGGTTTGTACAGAGGGAGAAATCGGGCTAAATGCCTGGAATTGCTGGGCCAATCTGATGCACGAACCCATCAGTACAGGCAGGTTGGCAGCTGTTGTGTGCCACCAGGGCTGAACCAGTCAGCCCACCCTGGTAATTCAAAGCCCACTCCAATGAAAAGCGGGCATTGGTCACAGCCCAGCCCTGGCCCCTCTCCCACGCAGCATGGCAAACAGAGTTTTTCACACAGCGCACAGTCGACCTGTGGAACTCCTCGCCAGAGGACGTTGTGAAGGCCAAGACTATAACAGGGTTCAAAAAAGAACTCGATAAATTCATGGAGGATAGGTCCACCAATGGCTATTAGCCATATCCCCCTGTTTGCCAGAAGCTGGGAGGATGGATCCCTTGATGATTACCTGGTCTGTTAATTCCCTCTGGGGCACCCACCATTGGCCACTGTTGGAAGACAGGCTACTGGGCTAGACAGACCTTTGGTCTCACACAGTATGGCCGTTCTCATGTTCTTAAAAGCCCTAACCCCAACTCCCTAAATTTGCACCAGCGTCTCGATTTTACTCCTTCGAGGCCTCTCCCAGGCCAGTTATCTTGGGTATTCTTGCAGGAGCGGTGGCCAGACACCCCCCCCCCCCCCCCCCCGGGCTAGTTCACGTCCTACCAAGTGAGGTTGTCCACCGGGATCCGACTGGGGGAGTGGCACCATGGAGCTCTGGGAAGGGGGTGGTAGCAGGAACAGGGCATAGCAATATGTGGCATAAGGCCAGAGGAGGAGGCCGGGGAGTGGGCAGGGTTCAGAGCGATGTAATAGTTAGACGGACAGGGCACGTGTGATGGGGCCGGACAGGGGGAGCTAGGTTAGGGGAACCCCTAAGGACTCGGACCAGCCTGGGCTGCCCGGGCCCAGCCTGGCTCTTACCTGTGGCCCGATTGCTCAGGAAATAGGCTTCTGGCCGCTGCTCTGAGTCTACACAACACAAGAGAGAAAGTGCTGGCAATCCCACGGGGGGTGGGGGAGCAGTCGCTTTAGGGAGCACCCAGAGCCTCCGCCCCCATCCCCCGCACAAGGCAGGACTCCTTGGTTCCATTCCCGGCTCTGGGAGGGGAGTGGGGTCCAGCGGTTAGAGCAGGGGGGCTGGGAGCCAGGACTCCTGGGTTCCATTCCCGGCTCCGGGAGGGGAGTGGGGTCTGGTGGTTAGAGCAGGGGGGCTGGGAACCAGGACTCCTGGGTTCTAGTCCCGGCTCTGCAGGAGGAGTGTGGTCTAGGGGTCAGAGCAGCGGGGGGCAGGCTGGTAGTGAGGACTCCTGGCTTCTATCCCTGGCTCTGGGAGGGGAGTGGAGTCTAGTGGTTAGAGCAAAGGCACTGGGTTGGTGAGCTCAGCCTTGAGGGCCAGGCGTTCCTGCTGTCCCCACAGCTGCCCCGCTTGTCTGTGCCAGGTACAGGAGAGCGAGGCAGATGCCCTCTAGGGGGCACTCCCCCTTTACCCCCTCTTTGGGAATTTGTTCCCCCTTTAACCACGTTGGGTCCCGGAC